TTCATTCATAAATATTTCAATGTGTCTCTGAAATACAAGGACTCTTTTTGTTCTTGGTTTATAAGCTAACCCCAATATCATTATTCATTATTGCACTTAAAAGGTCAACACTAAAACATTAATATCAATTATGAAATATTTCCAATTTTCCTCAATCACCTTATGGATTTGGTTTTCAGTTTCACATTCAAGCACCACTTACGTCTCTCCTTCTTATCCCATTTTCTTGACAGCATATTTTTAAGATTTTTTGACATTTGTTTTATAGTTTCCCATAGATTTTGCATATTGCAATGTTCCTATTTAGAATATTCTACTCCCTATATTCCCTATATGTATTGGTAAATAAATCTTAAAATGTGCATCCCATTACTTCCATCTGGAGGTCTAGGTCTCACCCCTCCTCCTTTTCTATCAACTATTCACTATATTGATCATAGTCTCATTCTATGATTTTTAATTTAACATTAGTTAAAATACTTATATCAAGGGAAATTAACCCTCATCAACTATTTTTTTAATGGCAGGATACTCAATTTTCCCCCTTATTTGCCAGTTTTTAAAATAATGAGTCAGTCCACAACATCTATAGGTAGGCAATAAAAACTATATTGAGGGGGAAAAGATCATCACAAATCCATGGACTTTAACACTTAATATGTTTGTAGGCATTACAGTTGTTATCTTTATTGATACAAATTATCTCTAGTTGGTAGTGAACTAGTTCAAGTTAGGGACTGTTTTTATAAGAACCCAGTAGCTTCATTTAATAGCATTGTTTCTATTAGTCATAGAGGAGTTTCCAGGATTTTCTTGTGTGTTTCAAGTTCAAACTAAAATGATCCATTTCTCCATAAAGGTTTAGTTTCTTCTGGTGATAAGGATATTGTCAAGACCACAATTTGAGTTTGTAGGATGTTCTCTGTTCCTGAGGTGCACATTTTTTCTAGGACTTTTCAGTGGCTAGGGGTGATTGTTTTCAAAAATAAGTGTGTATGCAGATGAAATAATTACATAGACAGTCGTTTGATGTATTTCCTTTCTACATGATTCTACACCAACTGTACACAATTAATTTGTTTCATTTTACTTTGACTTATTTACAGAATTTTATTTTGTAAGTATTTTGAGTATCTACTTCTCACATTGAGTCTACAAAATAAGCAATATTTCCCATTTTATTATCTCCCACAAACATGTATAGCTAACTCAAATATTTTGATTTTTTTTTTTTTTTTTTTTTTACAGATTTGTTCATTTGAAAGACAGAACGACAAGGAGACAGAGAGGGGTCTTCCATCTGCTGGTTTACTCCTCAAATGGCTGCAACAATCATGGCTGGCTCAGGTTGAAGCCAGGAGACAACAACTCCATCCTGGTCTCCCACATACACTGCAGGACTCTGAAAACTTGGGCCGTCATCAGGTGTCTTCCCAGGCACAGTAGCAGAGAGCTGGAACAAAAGAGGACTAGCCAGGACTCAAACAGGCACTCCATTATGCAATGCTGACAACTCAAGTGGTGGCTTAATCCAGTGTGCCACAATGCCAGCCCTATATTCCATTTTTCTTAGTATAAACAAATTTGCAGGCAAAATAGCATGATCTTGTCACTCTCCTTGACCAGATACATGGTGGAAAATCCTCAGGTTCTCTACATCTTGGTTTTCTCATTCAAAATATATCCTGTAGATCACTGAAATCTTCTGCCAGCTAAATAGTACTCTACAGTGTATTCATACCTTTGTTTTTTTATTAATAGTACTGGGACCAATTTTCTTAGCATTAATCCATAAAATGACACAATTTCCCTTTTAACTGCCAAGTGTCATGAGCAGCAGGGCCAAGCAGGCAACACACAAAGAAACCTTTTTTATAAAGCAGAAATTGTCAGAACCATGTTCTGTCAGACAGTGGTAAAAAAAAAAAAAAAAAAAAAAAAAAAAAAAAAAAAAAAAAAAAAAAAAAACACTGGACAACTGGACTTACAGCAACCTAGTGAACACTTGGTATGTAAGAGAGCATTCAGAAATGGTAGCGAAGTGGCCGCATCTTCCTTGCCCTTGCCCTGCCCTCTCCCTGGCTCAGCTGCAGTCTTGAGGACAGCAGACCACACTGCTGGTGTGAGCCCTGGGCTTGGAGGAAGCACAGATCTCATTTGTAATGATGGAGTTCTGTCCTCACCTGACTGGGAGTTAACTGAAGAAGTGGCTTAAAGTGCTTATCTTTGTTTAATCCAACTTGGAACTCACTGAGGCTAGAAAAACAGTGGATCCTGAAAACACTGCAATGTGGGTGAACCGACTGACACCTCAGAGATTACGTTTAAGTCAGAAAGCACACAGCCGAAGAACTAAGAGAAGTGGAGAAGAGCATTTGGGAAATCAGAGCAATCAAAAGCACTGAATCCACATGCCAGTACAAGCAGCATTCTCAGGAAAGACCTTGGAAGAACTTAGGCTGTCATGGTGGATTGATTTCAAGGCAGCTAAACTATTGAGAACAGGATCCCACAGCTGAGCTGCACAAAGCTCTGAAAAGTAGGTGAGTTTTTTTGGTGTTTTCTCCCCTCAACTTGTGGTATTCATGGCTACGTCTGCAAAACATTGGATAAACACAAGGTACAGAACTTGTGGTTACAGACCACATGTGACAAAGTCTCCAAAAAACAGGTAAAAAAAGTTACTCTATAAATGGACTTTTACAACCTTCCATAATCAAAACAAACAACCCTGTGGAAGGGTGAGAATCTGATTTTCAGAGTTATAATACTCCAATGTCCAGTTTTCAACCAAAACATTCCAAGACATGCAAAGAGTCAAATATGGCTCCTTCAAAGGAATAAACTAAATGCCATCAGTGAGGAGTCCAGAAGTTGGATTTATTACATTATTTAAAAGAACTGTTTCAAGTTTGATGGGACTTCAAAAACTTCATGGAAAATTTGCATTATGAAAAAATTATGCATGGATTTCAAAATGCTTTGCACAAAGATAAGCATCTTTTAATTACATTTTCCCTTAAAGCTTTTGATGTTCACTCTTGTGTTGGAAGACATGAGTCTACACATCTAATAAGTTCAATAAATTCCAAGTATAACAGATCTACACCTAGATTGATAATAATCAAACTGGTGAAAATCAAAGAATATTGAATAAGACAGAGACAGTTCATCAGGTACAAAGAAGCCTCATTTCTCACCAGAAGCCAAGGCAACCCTAAAATGCTCAGAGAAAATGACTGTAAGTGGAGATTTTTAAATTTTCCAAAATTGTGAAGAAATTAAAACATTAAAAGAAAAACAAAAGCCCAGGGAGTCTCTTACCATTAGACCTAAAAGAAAGATTAAAGGCTAAACAAAAGACATCAGGTCCTAGGTCAAAGTGAAGAAAATAAAGGGCTCTGGTAAATTTAAGTACAAAAAATAAATAAAAGATAGCACTATTGTATTCTTGATTTTGTAGCTCCATTTTTTATGTCCCACATGAATTAAAAGACAAGCATATAAATGTTCATTATAACTATGTTACTGGGTACCAAATATGTTTGCATCATCTGCATGAGTTTTTGTATGCTTTTGAAGTTGGTATCACTAGAATGTTAAATGTAATCTCAATGGTAACCATCAAGAAAATATAAAATGCATACATGAGGAAATAAAAACATAAGATGTGGCTGTTAAAGCATGTTACCTACATATATGGGAGAAAACTGACCTTTCTGTCCCTTATAGTGGAGGTAAAATTGTCTGGAAATCCCAACCCTAGGATTTGCAGTAGTATAGACTTTTTTAAAAAAAAGATTTCTCCAAATCTCTAAGCTGTGATTGGTGGGTAGCGTTTTCCTGGCTGTTCTTAAGGATAACTTTCTAAGGTGTTACTATGCAGCCATAGCCTGACAGCCCATAAATATCGCACAGAACCACCCTTCAGATTAAAAGCAGCTACCTTACTTACATATTCATTTTTTTTTTAAGTTGGCTTCTAGATGTCTGAACTTTCCTCACTGGCAACTTCATCTAGTAATTTTTTAAGAGAGCAAAGGCTGCAATCAACTTTCTCAACTAGATAATATATCATCTATACAACACTAGCTCCTTAGGATCTGATAATAACCATAGAGATCATTTAGATTCCCTATTAGGTTTGCTAAAGAAGAGTCTGAGGCCTTCAGAATCTGTTCCAGGCAACTAAAATAATGACCTTCTTAAAATAAATATAGAAATTACTGAAAATAATTCTAATTTTTAAGATATCTGCCATCATGGCCATAATAGCAAACCAAAATGAAGGAACAAGCCAAATGAAGGTAAAATATTAAATGGTAATTATTAATATAAACTTATTTTACGGTTTATTTGAAAGAGTTAGAGATCTTCTATCTGCTAGTTCACTCCTAAGATAGCTGGGCCAGGTTGAAACCATGAGCCAGGAACTTCTTCCAGGCCCGACACATGGGTGGCAGGGTTCTGAGCTCCTGAGCCACTTTCTGCTGCTTCTCCCAGGCCATTAGCAGGGAGCTGAATTGGAAGTGGAGCAGCCAGGACTCAAATCAGTACCCATATGGGATGCCAGTGTCACTGGCTACAACTTTACTCACTACACCACAATGCCATCCCAATATCGTTTTTAAAAATTCATTTGTCTAGAAGTGGTAAGGTGTAGTACAGACTGAGTTGTACATGGAGTCTTTAGCCATTAAATTATTTTGTGAACATCCACCTACCTGGTTTTCCTGTTAAATACATCAACAAGCGAGCTAATACTACACATAAAACAAGGCCACGTCCCACATCTGACTTACACTTGGGAGTATTTAAGAATCTCAGTGTACCATGTATCATTGTTATGCTATGCACACACACACACACACACACATATATATATATAAAGTAGATGGAACTGGAATTTAAAAACTGATGATTTAAAGCAGAAGAAAAAATAATACTCCGAAGAACTTCCCAAAGTCCTTGAGTCTAGTGAAGAAAACAGGAGACAGAGATCACTGACTTAACAAATGATGACTTTATTAAGAGAGAAAGACAAGATTGGTGTTTACCTCAATTAAACCATCCAGGAGAACAAAGCACAGAGACTTATACAATACTTTGGTTTAAAAATTATTCATAATATCAGTATTAAACCTGATGTTTAAAGAACCAAATGGGACACCTTGTGTAAAAACAAATCATGAAAACACAAGCTTGCATAGATGAATTAATGCGGATGTACAGTTGGCATTTAAGGGAGGCTTGAGCACCGGAGAGTGCCTTATATGAAGCTGACCTGCTCTACCTCTCAAGACACATGGAAATCACCAGCACCATGTTACTCATTTTCCTCAGGGAGGTGATAAGCAGGAACAACTTGTGCTGTATGAAGGTGAATTGAAATAGACTGTTTCCCTTAGTCTAGTCCAGATGGGTGCATATACCAGTACCCACCACCAGTCACCTTTAAGGCACCCACAAAATGTCCCTCACAGTTTCATTTAATCTCTAATTAGGCATGTGGTTCAAGGTGACCTTTTTTTTGCCCTCAGACAGGCAACTATTCTCCATCAAGTTTATCTTAGTTCCCATGAGATAGTTCTTTCAAAGCTGCCTTTGGGGTTGGCTATAAATTCATAAGCACTTGGGATAGTCACTTATCTTTATAAGCATATCCATATTCCAAATTTTCAGAGGGGCTCCAAAAATCTGAAAGTGTCTGAATGTTTTTAGTCTGCCTCAAGAGATTACTTTCCCAAACTGTAAGATAAATAATAGCATCATCTCAAATTTCCTGAGCAACTTGATTTATATGAGCAAACTTCTGTGATTTTTAATTCAGCACCTTTCCAGAATATAAATATAGTGCTGGGATGGATTCTTGTTAGGGGAAATTCCATTACAGAGAATTCTCATTTTGGAACATCATTTTTATATGCTATCTCCCCACTGTTCTCATTATTTACAACACTTCATGAAATGAATACTAGGCTATCAGTACAAGGCAGGTGAAAAATATCGTTATTTCTGAGAAAGGGAATTTGACTTTCAAGTTTAAAGTAGGAGCTGAAGTTACAGCCTATGGGGATTTCAGGGAATAATTTAATCATAAGTACAAAAATTCTGATGTCAAAACCTCTCTCACCAAATTTAACAACTAGAAACTGATTTAGCAATTATGGTCTGAAATCCAGTGCAATAAAATGATATCTTAAGTATATGATCTGACATGGTTTCTCCTCTCAACTATCTTCTTTCCATTGTTCCTAATCTTTGCTCTTTTGTGAAGGAAATGTTACTCAAGCCCTGTCTTTCACTTCTTTTGCTCTTTACGTAAGAACCTCAGCAATGAACCATGGGGCAGAGTGAGTCAGGTAATTAATTCTGCTCTCATCTGAAATGCTGAAACCAGTTTAGTACAGTGCTGATTTCCTATGTTTCAAAGTCACTCAAAAAGAGAAAAACATATTCTACTTTGCAGAGAATACACAAAAGATACTAAATCCATCAGGAACATGTTAGTAAGCAGTGTTCACATACACATTAATGGAAACAGAATGGATTTTACAGTCAGATAATTCCACAAATCAACATCACTAGTCATATGATCATGTTACTTTGTAGCATTTAATAGAACCTTTAAAAAACACTCCAGTGTCTTCCCTACCATAGCAAAAGTTTTCCCAATTTCCTCTTAAAAGTAATAGACACACTCTTCATGTCAGCAAATGTCTCATTTCCACTAAATGTCTCTGCTTTGGTTTTCTCCCTTTTGCTGTAAGCATTTCAATAAACAGAGTATTGGAGAACTTCTTATAAATAGATAATATGACCATCTTCACTGTACAAAAGAACCTTTGGAATAGTCACCAGAGAAAAGGACGATAGTTAACTCTCAATTATTCAGAAAGTGATCACCTGGTGTGAAAGATATACACAGCCAGGAAATTTTTTTTGTCATCTCACTGCTCATTCATGAAGAGACTCACGAACAAGGTGAAATGATGTAACCAACAGTGTTACATGTCAGGAACAGCTCAGAGGAAAGGAGATTCAAAGCTCCTGATGCCAAGGATGCTTGAGAATCATCTATGAATGTTACATCTCAATGGAGACTTGATGGCAACTGACACATAGGAAGCGAAGTACACTGACCTGGGTTGGAGACAGACTAACTTAAGGCAATACTACTCCCTACAGACAGTGTTAGCATAAAGTGCAGGTCTCAACAGGAATGGGACTCTGTGACAATGACATTTTCCCAGTTTATCATCTCCTTCTTGACTTTTCTAAAAGTAAATTTCAGCATTTCTAATTACAGCTGTTAAATGCCAGGAGCAACAACAGCTCCGACTCTTTCCTTTAACAGTGTCACATACCATAGGATAAAAGAGATTCTTCCACCAAGAGCTTAGATGTCATGGTGCCCCTTGCAGCATTTACAGGAAAGTACCAAGTTTGCTTCTCGTGGCCCATATTGCCTATCATGGGCTAAGAAGAAAAGAGCTTTCTATCAACAGTAAGATAAGCAGATATGGCTTCTTAAGACACACAGGCACCACGAGATATGAGGAGAAAAATGGGACCATTTCTTACAGTCATTTCTCTGAATATGAGTAACAATGGACAAAGTACATCCTTACTAATCTTTTCACTTTTGCTGAACAATCAGGTATGATTTATGATTGTTTCTAAAAAGCCTATGTTATCAGACTATGGCACAGTATTTACAGTGAAATTGACCTGACCAGCATTCCCTTTCAATGTTAATGCTTCCTACACTAATACTGTCTTTCAAAAATGGAGTGGGGGAAAAAGCCTTTAACTGCAAGCTATATTCAGTTCTCTGTCCTTCAGAAAGCTGCTTACATAGTTTTACTAGGGTACAAAGTTTTATAGTCAATCACTACAGTTATCTTTCAACAGAATCATCACTAAATAATGAATCATTTTGATATCCATTGACCAAAATGATTTTTATACAATGGCAACAGACATTGAAAATCAAGGCTGTAAAATGTTAACCACTTGTGTGGTAAACTGAATGCACCAGGTTATAATTAGGTTATTTCCAATTTGGCACAACACAAGTTTGGAGAAGACTCAATCATACTTAATAAAAATAATTATCAGTTAAAAGTTCTTCACTTGCATAATGAAACATTCTGGCTTTAAGGAAAAGGAATGGACGACTATCAGAAATGAATGTATTCATCATTCAGTTCAGTTTCAAGTCACAGCAGAGATGAAAAGAGGGAAATGAGGCAGGCTTACGGTTTTCTAGAGTGAGTTCAGTGGAGCTCAAGACCGAATGTACAATATGTTGACCTGGATCCAAGTGTCCATCATCATTTTGAAATTTTCCTCCTAGGAGCATCTATCCAGCTCTTTTCTAATTTAGATGTTTCTCTATGATCAAAAACCATATGGCACTTTTTGCAGTTCATTAGTATGCTGCTGGTTGTTGTGAAGTCACTTGAGAAACAGTAATAAACGGTATGCCAAGTCATTGTCTAGTCCTCTTTTAAAGCAGGTAAAGCATATGTCCAGTCTCCTAAAACATAATTGGGTCTAACAGTGGTTTGAACACTAGTCAAGGGTTTTGTTTGTCTGTGTGTGTGTTTTTTTTTTTTTTTTTAAAGTTAGGACCTTTAGCCTGACTCTATAACCTCCCTTCCAGGCAATACTTTACAAAAAGTTAGGTGGAGGAAAGAAGACATACATGTAAGCAGCCTTCGATACAGCTCCGTTAACACATTGTGCTCATTCAGCAATACTGGTATTAATGGAGGCCTGGTCTCCAGGGAGCAGAGAAAAAAACAAAAAGATTTTCCAAGGCCAGAAGCATTAGTTTATATCACAATATTAAAGCATAATATACTGTGGCTCTAAAAATTAAATGGTATGTGTTCTAGCAGAATTAGGAACAAAATGCTTCCATATTTATATTAAAATGACAAAGTATAAAACGGAGAACACAGGGAAGAGTGTCTAGTAATTCATTAAAGTACAGTTACTAGTTGCTTCTATTGTCTCAAAGATAATTATTTGAAAGAGAAAGAATATTTAATCAGTAGAATTAGATTTCCACCTTCTTATTCATAGGGAAATAATTACTCTGATATTCTTTAAAAAGTGTCTGCTTTACAAAAAAATAAAATAAAGATAAAATTTTTAAATTTTTAATTTTTTAAAAACCTAAAAAAAGTAACACATTTTCAATACATATGTTGAACTGGATAGCACAAGGGAATTACCACCTTTGGTCACTCATTAAGACAGTTAAAACACTAACAGTCTGGTTAAGTGGCCTGACATCATTTTGAATGGAGTATCTCCTGTTAGTATTTTACAATAATAAATTATGAATGAACAAAGTACATGAGAGGCAAGAAAATGCAGAAGTTTTGAAATAAAACTGATTGTTGTATGATAGAAAAATAAACATTTTTAAAATAAAAATATGGCAAATGATGATGTCCATTTGCCTCATTATCAAATAAAAATATTACTGTATTTTTTTTCTTTAAAGTTACCATAAAAAACTTTTAAAAATATGAAGAAAAATCACAGGGCAGATAAAGAAAAATATAGCATTAGTATAAGTCAACAAGGTCTAGCTTTTGACTATTGAAATCACTATCTGGAATTTGACTTAAGGCCAGAACCTCCACATTGTCTCCACTTTCCTATCTAAATGACTATTTTTCTATGTTAATTTCATCACAGCCATCCAAAGTTCTATTATTTACTCTGTCCTCGATTTCTCTAAAATGACAATATCCCTTATTATTTTATTTCTATGTTTTCATTTGCATAAAACTTAACTCTCAGATGACATCACTCAACCTCCTATACTACAAAATCTTTATGAAATCAAACATCTTTCTCAAAATGACAGTTCCAAATCTACTCCAAAAAACATTCCTAAACAGCTTCCTGAATACTGCCTGATTTTTAAGACTACCTGGAAAAATAAGGCAAAGAGAAGGCAGTTCTCACTAGGAAACAAATTAAGAATTTTTTTCCTAGTCATGTATATATTTCTTTCCTAAACAAACCCTATGTCAAAATTCCAAAAATGTCAATTTCATACAGTGAAAAAGAATATCAAGCCAAGCTGATACATATATGTATAATGTATAAATATGCAAATATGTACATATACTACATACATATGTGCATGTGTGTGAGAATGTATATATGTTAATACAAACACACACACTTTGGCTACCATTTGTGTTAACTAAGTAATATAGGAAAATAAGCATTTCTATGAGGTTAGCAACCAAGACTAAATTTCCTGAAGGGAGGCTTTAAAGGTCTTATACAAAGGAATATAAAGCTCATTAACAAGTAAGTAGAATCTTGGTAAAAGAATTACTTAATCAAACTTGATGTTGAGTTAATATTACTGATAGGTATACAAAACAACACTGAGAGGCTGCCAACAAATATTTATGTTTTGTAAGCAAGAATAAAACCTTCAATCTATAGTCAGAAAGACTGACAGCATTATCACTTACACAACTGCTTTCCATTTCCTTTGGCTCCACAAGCAAAACAAAAGAAAGGATAGAAACAATATTTTCAGTTGAATTTGCATGGAGCTGAGCTAACATTTCAGAGAATTAAGTTTTTCTCATAGAAACTGACACAAGATCCATCGCCCAGCAGCTTCAGAAAGCCTTGGTACTGAGGAAGCAACAGAGTGAATATCTAGCCAATTTACTCCTTTAAGGATATCCAAAACCTCCACAGTCCAGGTATTTAGATTTCAACTGTTGCGTGAATTTTCTTTTTTCATACTTTATGGTTTTTTTTTTTTTATTCTCTTCCTGTAGAGTACAAAAAGCCAAGGCTCTGTCCTTCAAAACATGATAAACTAATACACCAAAAAAAGCTACATCTTACATTCTTTTATTCTGTGCTGCACCCAAACATACTTTACTTTATCTATTCATCTCCATATAATTCTAATTGCTAAACAAAGTCTAGACCCTAGAGACCAATATTCCATACTTAACAAAAGGGCATTTTACAGTGCTCTTGGATACTATATCCCAGGAAGGATATGCAGCATAGAGGTTGCCATTAGTCAGAAGCTACATTTTCTTACACTGCCCAAGTGATCAGGAGTAACCAAAGCATTTGAAATGAATTAAAAATATTTATGGTCAGACAAAACCCCGAGATAAATCCCAGGACTGCAAACAATGGAGGGAAAAAAGTGTGGAATGCATTCTGTATCATCCAGCAATATCTGCTACAGTGAGTCCATTTTCAAGCCAGATTCCTGTTTTTTACTGCTTGTAATGGAAACCTGAAAAGAGGAACAAAGGAAACACAATTAAGAAAAAATAACTGAAACTCAAGACAGCTTTTCTCCCCATTCAAGAAAAATCATTAGTTCTATGTATTTCAAATGGTTTCTTTGTTCTTTTTTAAAAAATATTTACATACAGAATCAATATGCTATTTTAACAATGCATCAAATGCATATAAAGGACACTAAGGAACACCTCAAAAAATGATGCAAGCATAGTTAGACAAAGAAAAACTTAAGTTATTTCATTTAAATCAAAGATAATGAAAATGCCCCCAACTGATGGAAACTGTGATGTGTGGGTTGTTTCAGTATAGATAGCCAGCTCTATTAAATAGTGTCCTTTGTTTTATTACAAAAACTGGATGAATGTCAGAATAGAGAAGGGATGATTTTTTTTTTTTAATTTTTTTTTGACAGGCAGAGTTAGTGTGAGAAAGAGAGACAAAGAGAAAGGTCTTCCTTTTCCATTGGTTCACCCCAAAAATGGCCGCTGAAGCTGGCGTGTTGCGCCCATCTGAAGCTAGGAGCCAGGTGCTTCTTCTTGGTCTCCCATGTGGGTGCAGGGCCCAAGCACTTGGGCCATCCTCCACTGCCTTCCCGGACCACAGCAGAGAGCTGGACTGGAAGAAGAGCAACTGGGACAGAATCCAGCGCCACGACCGGGACTAGAACCTGAGGTGCCGGCGCCGCAGGCGGAGGATTAGCCATGTGAGCCATGGCGCCAGCCGAAGGGATGATTTTTTAAAACTTAAAATGTTCGACACTTCCCATCTAGAGATTCTGATTTAATTATTCTTCGCTCTCACACAATGGTAGTTTTTAAAGGCAGCATAAAAGTTTTAAAAAATCTGGGAAATTTTTCATTAGATATGGAAGAATATTAAAAAAAAGTCACCTAAGAAATCTTTAACAACTGGTAACAAAAAATAAAAACTTCATCAATTAATAAGGTCTAATATCTGTAAAGTCTATGGCAATCTGTGAACTTTACTCACATATTTTACCCTGGCAACTGTGACATTTTCCATTTAGACTGCCTCCATTTAGCAGGTTAGGAAATTAATAAAAGAAATTACCTTTTTTATTTTATTACTCTCATGAATATATATAACTAAATATACACACATATATATATATATAAATGAGTTACATATAAGTGAACACATATCCTCAAAACAGCAAAAACATTCAACAATCCTTCCATTTGAAAGATTGCTAAATTTAGACATCCATTATCTTTATTTTCTTTGTATCATCCTTTTTCACAAGGTTTTATGTGTTTGTGTGTACATACATATTTTAAATTTAATTACTAGTGTCATGGGTAGATAAAAATAGCAAGCAAAGGTTGAACATCCCTTGCCCAAAATTTCTGAGACCAGAAGTGTTTAAAACATCAGAGTTTTCTGGATTTGGGAATATTTGCATAAACTTTGCTGAATTTGAACTGCTCCAAGATCTGAAACTTTTTGAACATCATGTCAACACTCAAAATGTTTTAGATGTCAGAGAATTTCAAATTTCCATATTTGGAATGATCACTCTGTATAGAAAAAGCAGTTTAATAGATATAAATCAAAGTCACAATCAACCTTTAAGAGTCTGATGAAAGCTATGGTTTCCTCTGCAGGAAAAAGCAAATACACAGAAAAGCTTGCATTAAATTTAAAGTTTTCCTTTTGGTCTGTGTTAAAACACTGTCATTATTTGCTGAAAAAAGCTACCTTCTTTTTCCACTCTAGTAATCTGTAGACAGCATTTGACTTCCCACTGTAAGGTTTAAAAGTAAAATATATATATATATAAACGATAAAGCTTAAAAGTAAAAATTTAAACTTGCCCATGTACACTCTTCTTACCTTTATGAGAGGACTCTGCTTTTGAGAAATGACGGGTGGAACTGTGCTGCTTTGTAAAATGAGTATAATCCGTATCCTCAGCTTCTGTCGTGGTAGGTGGTGGTGGTCTGAAGGGAAGCCAGAATTTAAAAGATATTCTACATATTGGTTAGTACATGCCACTTCTCATTGGATTATACCGCAAAAACGTTTTCTGTAGAAATAAAAAGGTCAAAATCCTGTAGAATGAATTCTACTTTAGTTCTTGGATAGTTATATGACCTTCAATAAACTACTTTATCTTAATTTTCCTTCAGGTTTTGCTGTGGATCCTTTGTTTTGATACATGTAATCAAATAAAAACAAATGTATTTTTTCAACACCTAAACTGCATGAGGCACTCTGTTAAAAATAAGAAGATAAGTAAGGTGTGACTGTTGCTGTTAATAAGACACATTTATCTTGTTTGGTCCGTTTTCCAAGAAAAAATAAAGAGAAGAAAGTAAGAAAGCTGAGGAAGAAAGAAGAGAGGAAGGATTAAAGAAAGGATAGTAAGTATTGAGGGAAGGGATTTTGAGAACATTTCATGAGCAAAGTTTCTTTATCCACTAGGTGGCAAAGTAGATCTTAACATAATTGCATCTTTCTATGGAACACATTTGCAATTTTTATGACAAAGAAAACAAAATTTAAAAAAAGATTAGAAAATTGTTACTAAACTTTTTACCTTAATTATTTAACACAGATTTTTGCAACAACTGGGCACTGATGAAAAACAAAACCTTTCATGTTTTTGTTTAGTAAAGATGTGCTCAAATTTTGTATTAAAGCATGGACCCATATCAATATTTAAGCATGTTGTAGAATGTTTTATATTATTATACATAAAATCTGTAAGCCATTGGCATTTTGAGGTTTAGAAAGTCATACTTCTTTTGGTATAATGGGCTCTATCGTATAAAAAGACAGGTGTTTTCAAATTTCTTACCCTGTCCCCAAACACTAATTCTCTCCCTTAAGTACTCAGCATTTAGAAGAAGTCAGCATGAGATGTGTACATAAATTTGTATATATACTGAGGGCTGTGCCAGTGGTTCTATATTTCAGTTAACTTGTGGGACGACTCTGTACAGTGGCTATTGTATACATGTTTTAGAGTTAGATTAAAGATGTAGTCAAGTTCACATTGCTGTCAGGTGCCAAAGCTGGAGCTGAAATTCAACTAGACCTCCAAACCAATGCTTTAACTTCTATACTACACTATGCTACACAGGTACAGATTTTTAATGAGCAGTAGCAACATGTGCATACAGGAGTGTATGTGTGGGTGTGTGTCTTAGGTTTTCATATGTATCTTTGTCTTACATTCAAAAATCTTGGAAAAAAGATACATTTTAACATATGCATATATTTTCTGTGTTTTTGTTATAAATGAGGGAATTTTAAACACTTTGTGAAAAATGGAATTAATAGCGAAATTTATTTCGGTGCGAATTTTTTTTAAATCCAGACATGAGGCATCTTCAAAGAGCTCATGGAAGAAGCATACTGTGAAAAAAAATTATGCATGATTTCAAAAAATGTTTTACACCAAAATAAACTTATCGTTTAACTCTATTTTCCACAAATTGTTTGAAGTACCCTTTGAACTAAAAACAATGTGCTCCTAAAAAGTCTGCAAAACATTTAAGAGAAACACCTACTGGGACTTGTCTTAGTAGTAGCTGGACAAAGCTATTAATCTTATTACCAGGTGAATTTGACTTGGTGATGTGCAATAAGGTTTGTTGTCTTAGGCATCTAACAGCAACCCTGAGTATCTTTGTTCTTATCTATGCATTCTTATCTATTCTCAGAAATGTTCTTCTTAAAATTAATCCAGTAGAAGCGGGTATTGTAGCCCAGCAAGTTAAGCTGCCTTTTGGGATGCCAGTATCCCATAAAGAGTGTGGTTTTTAGTTCAGGCTGCTCCATGCTTCTGATCCAGCTTACCGTGGATTCAAATAGGAGACAGGAGATGATGGCTCAAAGTTCTTGGGCTCCTATCACCCATAAGATCAGTGTCTATCCTGTGTGTGTGTGTGTGTGTGTGTGTGTGTGTGAGAGAGAGAGAGAGAGAGTGAGAGCGCGTGCGCGAGCGAGCCTACCTGGCATTCTGCCTTTTAGTAAAATAAAGTAAATACATCTTAAAAACTTAATCAGTAGTCTTTTCAGTAGTGTCTTTTTTTGAGATGTTTGTAATCAATTGTTCTAAAGAAAGTAATCTCTACCTGTGAGAAATTCACCCCTGCTTACCTAAAGGCCAACTTTTTAGGTCAAGCAAATGTATGTTTATTGTATAATGGCTAATGGACATTTACCATCATGGAATACATAAATTCTGACTAGAATCTGACTACTCTGGAACACCTCCAAAGTAAATAGGCTTCTCCTTCCCACATCTAGGGCACTCATATTCTGCCCTGAATAAACCTTTTATTAATCTTTCCATAAACCGTATTTTATCTCCATCAACAATAGATATATTAATGTGAGCAGAGTATAAAATGCGTCATTTTTGTTTTTCTCTTAGCCATTTGATTACAAATATTATAAACCCAATAAATAGTGCTTTCCTTTTGTTATTCCCATTATTGACTAACATTTCGAACTCTTACTTTAAAATAGTTACAGAAGACTTGGAGGAAGAATTGACACAAAACAATTTGACTTTAGAATTAAGAAACTCAGTTTCACAAAGCAGGTGGCTAAGGAAGTAACTGAGGCCCAAGAAAACAGAAATGGTAATAAAGGTAGCACAGTTTATTCTTTACTATTTTATTAACCTCAGTAGCTTATTATCAGTTACTTTTAATTCTTTTATTAATGCTACTAGGTGACTGAAAGCCACAAAGACAAAGGCCGAGTGGAACATACAAAAAAAAAAAAAAAAAAAATGTGACTATTGCTCTACCTTCATCACCAAGCAAAAGGATTCTAAAATCTTAAAACAGCATAGGACTCCAAGAAATTCTCTAGGATCGCCATGTAAGGATAAGATTGCCAAAGCAATCTAGAGAATGTCCTCAGTTATCTTATGCTGTTCTGTTTAGCTTCTGGTTATAAAGAAAAAACAAACAACCAATCTAGATTTATTGCTTTCTGAATCAAAATTAATTTGTTGCAAGAGACAATATTTAAATGCAAAGCTAGAAAAATCTATTAACCAATATTTAACAGTTTTCATTGTATAAAGATATTCCTCACAATTCACTCTGAAAAACACTTCTTCAATAAACCATCCTTGACACACAAAACAGGTTGTCCCTTTGCTTGAATGGAACTGTGTATTTTTCAACCACAGCACTTAACACAGTAATAATAATTATTTGCATAACTTAAACTTCATGAAATTACAAAACAGGTTATCCTTGCTCATTGTTGCTTACCTCAGTTCTAAGTAATTATTGGGATTCTTAGTAAATATTTGATAAATGAGTAACTAGAGATGTGATTCACATTCATAATGTATGAGGAATTAAATGTGATTTATAATTTCTTTAAGTTTTTCCAAGGGAAAAAAATGTAAGTGAAATAGCAAGTAGTGTTACCAGCAAAAATCCTGTAGTTGAAACAACTGAGAACTTGGCTTTTAACTTTTTCCAGTAAAAAAGGAATTAGAATTAATATAGATTGCTAACTGGTTTTCTAATTCTTTAAAGAGAATATAAAATCTTTTAATGACAAAAGAAATTAAATCTTTCACCTTAATCTTATAAGCTCTCCATGCAACCTTCTTTCTCCTCTACTACTACTATCTTGATCTAGGAAGATTTCTGCTTTTCAGTCCATAAAACACACTCTTTCTGTACAGAGAGGAAGGTTTTTCTAAATGTGTGAAAGGAAACCATAGATTCTAACCAGAAATTATACATTCTGATAATAGTTGTACAAAATAACTATACATCCAAATTATAGACATTCTAATTTTTAATTGAAAATGTTTTAAAAAGTTCTGAATAAATGTTATTTTCCCTATATAGACATTCTATAAATGGTATTAAAGACAACTATTCATGTCAGGTAAAAAAGATTTCAATTCTATTAGCCATAAGTAATTTTTCAGTAATTAATAACAGTCACTTGAAAGGCAGACTCTACGAAGTAGACAAACAGATAGACAAAGATCTCCCATCTGCTGACTTACTTTCCAAATGCCCAGGAACTGGGAATACAATTTGATCCACCCATTATGACGATAGGGACCTAACTAAGAGTCATCATTTGCTGCTTCCCAAGGTGTGCATTAAAGCACGAAGCTGGAATTTAGAGTGGAGCTGGGACTCAAACCCAGGCACTCTGATATGGGATGTCAGCATCTCAGGCAGCATGGTAACCTCTGCGCCAAGCACCCACCCTTTTAACAGTCATCTTCAATATAGGAAAATTTGGGGGCTGGTGCCATGGCACTGTGCATAAAGCAGTGCCTGCTGTGCCAGCATCCCATATGGATAACGGTTCAAATACTACTCCACTTCTGATCCAACTCCCTGCTAATGCTCCTGGGAAAGTAGCAGAAGATGCCCAAGTGCTTGCGCCCCTGCACCTATGTGGGAGACCCAGAAGAAGCTCTTGATTCTTGATCAGCCTATTTCTGGCCATTGTGGCTATTTGGGGAGTGAACCAGCAGATGGAAGATATCTCTCTCTCTCTCTCTTTCTGCCTTTCCTTCTCTGTAACTCTTTCAAATAAATAATTTTTTTTTTAAAATAGGATCATTTGATTATTTACTCTCTACATTTCAAATATTTTAGAGTATCTACATTTCTGAAACATTTCAACTTTAATAAACCTTTAAAAATAAATATTCCAGACTGTTCTACCATATGTTATCAAAGTTATTTGAATTTTTACAAGGCCAAGGACTTTGAAAATTGCAAAATAACCTAAAGTTGAATTCATGTGACTAAAAATAAGGATAATAATCTAGACATATTTACCCTCAGAAAAGATTAGCTGCTTACTTTACTTGGACACTGTGAGGATATATATACTCAAGTGTAGGGATCTTAAATATGACTCACACAAACATTCAGCATGTGCGCAACCAAAAGCTTTATGAGGAGCAGATTTCATATAATTAGATGGACTCTACTATTATTGTCCTCTAAGCAATACAAACCTGATACAATTTTCAGAAGGGTATTTATCTTCTGAAAGCACATGAGATTAAAAATAGAGGATGGCTTCTGAAGAGCACTAAACATGTTCACATGAAGGAAACAAGTCTAGCAGCTTCACTGTGCGCAAAGAGTGGAAACCACAGTGTGTATTTTTTACAAAGCTTAGGCTTCACAAACTAATAGTATTAATAGGACCAAATTGAAAGTTTTAATAATTCAGCTTTAAAAATGTTAAGATTTGCTGGTACTTTTGTCTCTTTATATTTGTTTTCTCTTCAAAATCCAATCACATTTTCTTTTGAAAGGTAACCAAAAGCAATAAAGAAAAAACAGACTGCTTTTCCGGAGACATAAATATTGACAGTATAATGTTGCGGATACAGCAGTTCCTCCCTAACTTTGACTCAAGACTGCTTGAGAGAGGTTTACAAAAAAGCATCCATTCTGAAGCCAGAGCTATTTGATCTAGTGGGATTTAGGTGACTTACAGTGACTAAAGTATTTGCCGAGGACATTTATACTCAAACAGAAATGAGTTTTGACATGTTTAAATGTCATCCACGTTATCACTGTGACCATGAAATCCTAAAAATTTAAAACCTGAAATTTCATTTAGGAAAATGGTTAATCTCATCCCTCTGAAATTGAGGGCATAAATTTAGTGAATGCAGAGATAAGAACTGCTCCTAACAAGTACATCTTTCCCTCTATACCTCAGCTTCTGTAGAACAGCCCTGATTTTACTTCTACATCCAGTTTAAGACTGGAAATAAAGTTTAAGAATAACCTTGGCAGATCTGATACCACCACAAGTTTGCAGAGCTTCGGCTCTCCTCTCCAAAGAACAAAAACTATTCTTAGGCAACTGACATCTCCTTAGTCACCTTCCTCATTCTCCTTCTCCAGTGTCATCTTACCGTGCTGGCCTGTCATTCTTAGAACGGTGAGGTTCATCACTCTCTTTTGACTTTGGATGCACTGATTTAGCTGATTTTAGCTATGGATAGAAAACAGACAAAATACACACACACACACATTAAACAAAGGGAAAAATAAGGTTTAGAAAATATGTATATTATGCCAATCTCTCCTTTAGTAATTTCAAGTTACTTATTTAAGCAACTTTTTTTTTTTAATTTATCTAGAAGCAGAGAGACAGGGAAAAAAGAGAGACAGAAAGAAAGAGATCTCCCATCTGCTGGTTCACTCCCCAAATGCGAACAATAGGCAGGGCTGAGAGAGGAGAGAGAGGGAGGGAGAGAGGGAGGGAGGGAGGGAGAGAGGGAGAATTCTTCTATATTGGTCCACATGCCCACAACAGCGAAGGAGAGACCAGGAGCCAGGAGCTCCATCTGGTCTCCCACACAGGTGGCAGGGACCTAAGCACTTGAGCCATCTTCTACTGCCTTTCCAGGTGCATTAGCAAGAAATTGGATTGGAAGTAGAACAGTCAGGACATTAAATGGGAGCTCATGTGGGATGCCGATGTTGCAAGTGGCAGCTTAACCTACCATGCCACAATACCAGCCCTTCAGTTCATCTTAAAATACATAGAATTTAAGTTTTTAATCACAGCAATAACTTTTTATAGTTACAGTCAAGAATTCAAAGCTTTTTATTCATAGTGAAACTTATAAAATCAGATTCATAAATGCAGTGCAGATCATTTGTATATCCTAAATGTATTTGTAGAAATTAAAATTCTACCACGAAAGTGGAGTTCTTTTCATTTCTCATTTTATTTCTAACTAGAAGACAAACCCAAATAACACACCCTACCTTCCATTCTGGATCATGCTTTCTTTTTTCCAAAGATGACTTTTCCCGTTCCCTGGCTTTCTTGTAAGCTTTCTTTTCTTCAGCCATTAGGAGTCGAGCAATTTCCTAAACAAAATCCAGTCAACATTAGTTGCAGATCCTCAGTATGGAAAATTATCAGGATATTAACACCCTCCCCCCCCCCGCCAAAAAAATGAGTTAAATTCATTAACTAAAATGGACTTACTTCATCCTGGGCGACCTGAGCTGCTCTCATGTCTACTTGGGTAGCCTGTGGTATAGAAAACACAAAGAAGAAAAATTTAGCTGGAATACATGTCATTCATTTAAAAAAACTCTTACAAAAAATAGATAATTGAAGCCAATTATGATTAACATCCCTGAAGCTGATAATCAGTTGGTACACTTTCAGCAGATATAAAAAGGGGCTCTTTTATTTAAATACTACATATAGCAAGTTCTTAGAGAAATATCACAACTTTATAATGCAGAGACAGGGATACAGTTCTGTTGCTACTGCTCAATCAGTAAGTGAAAGTGGACTTATTCATAAGTGCCCCTTATTCATGAGTACATGTTCCAAGACGCCCAGTGAATGCTTGAAACCACATTGGTACAAACACTTCCTATATTTTTCCTACATGTACACGTACCTATAAGAAAGTTTAACTTATAAAGTAGGCATGGTAAGACATGAACAATAATAAAAAAATAGGATAATTATAGTAACATGCTGTAATGAAAGTTGCAATTATTTATAGAATTTTCTATGTAATATTGTTGGGCTGTATTTGACCATAGATGACTGAAATCATAGAAAACAAAACTGCATATAAGGGGAAATTATTGTATTTTATTCCCATTGTGTTGACTTATTTTTCACCTATCAAAATTGTCTGTTTCTCAACTGACAAGAGATCTATAACTTACTGATTCACCTAGACTTTTGCCTTAAAATGCGCTCACCAGAAGTTCTTCTTCTTGCAGTTTTCTGGCTATTTCAGCATCATACCATTCCTGATCCCTGTGGGTTACTCGTGATGGAGTAGACATAGCATCTTTCATCACTCGTGGCTTCGTTCCTAGAAAAAACTCAATGTAGTAAGGCAACATAAAAATCTTTTAAAACCTTTCTTTCCTATCTAACACTCTACTCTGGAATTCAAGATAATGTATATACAAAATGTAGCAAATTTTTCCCCTATGCATGGAAGTGGTGATGTAGATAATGCATACATTTAAATAAAGTTATCTACACAAACTGCCTGGCTTTTAAAACTCCTCTCTCAGTTTCTTCAACAGCAGAAAATCTGTAAAGAACTGCAAGTGAGCCCTTTACAAAATGTCACTGACAAAATAACAAAATAATAAACAAAATTAAAAAGTCACTAAAAATAAAGAAGAATTTAGAGAAAAAAAGTTATCGAGTCTGGCTGGCACCACGGCTCACTAGGCTAATCCTCCTCTTTGCGGCGCTGGCACACCGGGTTCTAGTCCTGGTTGGGGCGCCAGATTCTGTCCCGGTTACCCCTCTTCCAGGCCAGCTCTCTGCTGTGGCCAGGGAGTGCAGTGGAGGATGGCCCAAGTGCTTGGGCCCTGCACCCCATGGGAGACCAGGATAAGTACCTGGCTCCTGGCTTTGGATCAGCACGGTGCGCCAGCCACAGTGCGCCGGCTGCGGCGGCCATTGGAGGGTGAACCAACGGCAAAGGAAGACCTTTCTCTCTCTCTCACTGTCCACTCTGCCTGTCAAAAAAATAAAAAAAAAAAAAAGTTATCAAGTCAGACTTAAGACTGGAAGGAGAGGTTTCCATTTACCTCAGTCTGCATCCCTTACTCTGAACAGAACAGAAATTGCACCTCCTAGAAGTTATGTGACAAGACCTATTGTTCAACCAGCGAGTCTTCCATGGCTTCTGCTCTTACGGGAAACCAACCAAGTTACGTTAGACCTTTCATACAGCTTTGATCAGTTTAATGTTAATGCTACAAATGAGGGAAACATCAGAGGACACAATGACCTTAGAGTTCTACCCCTCTGGGGAGAAAAGAACATGGAAAACAGGTAAGCAACACTGGCCTTTTACTTTGAAATGCTATAGTCAACCCATATGCCTTCTGCAACTTTTACCTAAGATAAATGCTAATGGTTATTATAAAAATATGGATATTTCTCTTCTGTGCCCTTCCATAAATTGCAATTACCCAACAATATGAATATATTACATTCAGAAATGAGAAATTTGAATGTAATGAGCAAAATTAGCCATCTGGAATGGTGACTTTGAATAAATACTGAAAATACTTTCAGTAAATTACTGAAGAGAGAAAGAAAATCTCTTCCTCATGGTATATCTCCTTAGACTAGTGGTTGTTAATGAGAGCTATATATTAGAATTCCTTGGGGGTGCTTAAAATACTTGTAAATACAAAAATATTTGTCCTAACCAACAGAAATTCTAATTAAGTAGCTTGGATGAGTCTTGACCTTCAATTGATGTATTTGATTGTTCTATGTATTCTCCATGGATGCTTTTTCTTTACCCATCTATCCACTGATGGATATTGAGGTTGATACCATTTCTTGGCTACTGTAAATATCTTCCCATAGTAAGCCTAAGGATATCTATAAGTTGATCCTTATTTGCAGTTAGCTTTGGAATAGTTTAGTAAAAATAATACATAAAATGATATTTTTTAATCAAAATGCCTTACCACAGTTGATTTCATTCCTATTAACAAAAACAATGAAGAAAAGAAAATACAACTAAATCCTGAATAAAGAAAATTTACGTTATCCTGTGAAACCTATCTTTGTAGAATTTTCAACCTAACTTTGTGGTAAATTCAAAATAGGTTGCTATACCACCATATTGCAATCTATACAAAAGTGATGCACATACAAGCAGACCAAGGTCTAGTTAAGAATGACAGAACATGCTTAGCTCCTCCAATTGCTAGGCAATGAAATTATAAAGTGGCAAAAATTCAGATTTCAAGACATCAGACTTCATTATTACGTCTTTTACTCACAACCACAGAATTAACTGTGAAAACATTTTATTTTAAATTCTATGACAGACATATTCACATGAAAAGTGTTAGATGACAGGATGATAAAACTGTAACATCTGGCAGTCAAAAGAGAGTAACCTGATCAATACTCAGAAGAGTCACAATTTGAGGTAATATCTATCTGTGTCCCAAATATTCACAGGGGAAAGAGTTATTTAAACCCTGGTCATATAACTGGAATTTGCAAGTCTCATTAAACACAAAAGCCCACTGTTGAGAATACTGAATTTTTGGACTGGCAGGCCTACCACTTATTAATGTGAGTCTGTATGAGCAGCAATCACAGATGGTACAGTGTAAGGATATTTCAATACAGAAAACAGATATGTCTAGAAATTAAAAAAAAAAAACATGGTTAATTGAAGGAAATTAACAAAATAGGAGTCCCCATCTTGGTAACCTAAACAGAATCTGCAAACAATGAAGTGAATCATATTTTCAAATGTTCCAAGCATTTCTAAAACTCATTTTTCCTCATCCTTTTCTGTTCATCACTCTCCAGCATGAGAAAACAAGGACTTCCCAAAATCAACAAACTTGGTGCCCCCTCTTAAAGCCTTAAATAGATAACACTGCTAAGATTCTAGCATTGAAGACAAATTTGGTCCAAGCTTGGTTAAATAAGATAAAATGCTGACAGATTATCTTGTAATAAGTCAGTCTGGCACCATGGAATATCACAGTCTATTTCACTAAAAATTTATAGTAGAAAAATGCATATATTTTATGCTAAGATGTTAGAACCCAACTTGCAAAATAAAAGAAACTGTTAATGAATCTGTAGTCCAACAGAGAAGTTATTGTCAAAGGCTTCATTCTTCTGTTGAAAGATAACTAATCTTATAGTTAGCAATTTTACTTTGTATTACTTCTCAACTGCCTCCAAAAATGCTATTAGTACCAGCTGTTTGTCATCCTGCTACTTTCTTCATCATTAAGTTAAATAAAAATTTTATGTATGTTAAAAACTTTCCCAAATTAGGCTTTTTCAACACCAAGAATAAATGCCAGTACCTAGCATTTATATTTTAATGTAATCTTCTGACCTGTTCCAAAGGAGTTGCAAAATCACAGCCTACATGGTGCTAGAAAGATGAACTAAGAGTAGGCAGCTCTTGTTGTAACCATTTTAATACCTGTCTAGCCACACTTTTTTTTACTGGCAACATAAAAGAAACAAAACATCTGACTGCAACACCAGTAGGGCAGTCTGTGAGTCACTGTTTTGGTTCATGCTTCCTAAACCTATTTAAAACACCCTGGAGCATGATTAAATGCCTTAACAGTTAACCTCCCTCAGAACACATTTATAAGGTCAGATTCACAGGCTCAGAATTGGAGAGGCATGAACACCATTCCTCCTTCACAGTGCTCTCCCTTTCTTTGGAACTCCAACTTGTCTTTCCAAGCTTGGAAATAATATAACTGCCTCACAACTCCAAGATTACTTTATTCCTCCCTCACCACTCCTCACCCCCCTTCCACCACCTGTGTTTTCAGGTCTACCTAACAATGTGTATCTAACTCAGAAATGTTTGTTAATATATCCACCTTCTTTCAGATCCAAGCATAAAGCCTAAGACAAGAATATTTATGGCACACAGTGACTATGACTGTTGAACTGAATTTTGATTCTCTTTACAATCAAGTCATTTAATAAGAGGTACATGATAGGACAAACCAACTAAATTAACCTGAATCTGTGACACAGAAATGAATTTTCTGATGACAAGAAGTTGACTAGAGCACAATAAAGAAGAAAATAAGAAAAAGGTGCCTCTTTGGTACTCCTTTTCCAAAAACCCTTCAAACTCTGTACAACATCAGTAACAGTAAAATGCCTCATAAAACACCAGAAAGTGTGGAGCTATGACTTCTAGGGCTATAGCCACATGTGAAATGTCACCTTAGCATTTTCCAGACAAGACAGTCACTACAGTGTCAATGATGGTCTTCAGAGTTAAGCCTCAGGAATTTTAGGCTTACCTCTAAGATTCACCTAATTCCTACACTGGTACCAGGAACTTACCTATATCAGCATGTTAGAGCACCAACTGTAGAGTTAGAGCTGGAGAAAGTTAGAGGGTAAAAAATAACTCAAGCCAATGATTTTTAAACTTTAATTCCATAAGAATCACCTCCAGGTCCGAAACAGGGCCCAAATTAGCAGGCCTCACTCCAGAGATGAAAACAGATGTGAAACTCAGAAATTTGCAATTCTGGGGAACAGTGTAGCTGATTCTGACAAAAATGGACTGAGGCCCATAATTTAAAAAAACACTGTCTTAAAAGATCGCCTATCTAACCCCTAATTTTACAGAGGTGAAAGTCAAGGTTTAAAAAATCTATTACGTCCAGCCCTCCTTGCAGGCAACTTTTACTAAGGCAGTATCAATAGGTCTTGTGGAAAACTGAAGTAAACCAGAAAACCAGAGGCTCTGACTAGGTATTAGAATCTGAGTTATGGTCTCAGCACACGAGGAAGCTATCTGGAATGTCCACCTCCACTACAAGGAATCGACGTTTTCTTACAGATGCGGAAAAGTACACACATTTCCTTTCTTCCTACAGATCTGACACTGAATAAACCATCCTTTATATTTTACTCCAGGATTTATTTCAAAGCCATGAACACAAAATGTAGAGGAAGGAAGATTGCTTAAAAGCTTAGGAAATGCACTGGTCTGTATGTACACAAAAAAATGAGATGTCAAGATTTCCAATGACAATGTCCTTCATTACCTGTGTCATGGAGGTGAAGCCGCTCCTCACTCTCTGAGAAGGGAGGAGACCTGGGTCTGTGTCTCCTTTCTCTGTGCTCACCTTGCCCCCGGTCCCTCCCACATACTGATTCCTTGCAGTGAAGCCCTGCTTTCTGTGAGGACACAGGTGAAAGTCGGTCTTGGTGTCGGGACCGTTTTCCCAAATTCCGAGTTCGATGGCCATTGTTAGCCTCCCAGTCATCAGACACAGTGGTCAAAAACACCTCACCACTGATCTTGGGGAGCGGAGGTCTCCGGTGCCTCTCCTGACCAGACCACTTCCTCTCACGCTGCTCCCTGTTACCGTGAGGATCATCCCTCCCTTCACCCCAGCTGGAGGATGACAGGGATCTCTGTGACGAACAATGCTCATCCTGATCTTCCAAGGGCTCCAGTGGAGGATCTGGTTTCTTCTTCCTTTGCTTCACAGTCTTTCCATCACCTTGGAGTCTATGAGACCGTGAGTATCCAGAACCCAATTCTCTGGCCCTCCTTGACCTTGGTTGGTCTGAGTGGAGGTGGAGGGATGTGAAAAATGAAAATGTAGATTAACTTAATGAGAGTATGAACTCATTACACATGGCAAGTCAGGGCCCAAGCTTAACATACTTTAAAAATGGAGAAAACTGCTTTTTTAAAAAACTCAAATTCAAGAGAGGAGACAAATATTTACTAGAATGGTCCATGCACTCATGAAGGATTCTGGGTACAGAGCCACAAAGATAAAAGAAAACTAATAATCAAGTGAAAACAATTTAAAACTGAAATAAGAATTTGATTATGATTAGGTAGAGCTGAGAGAGTAGTTCAATATTTGCCAATAACAAAATTATAGCCAATAAACATTACATTCTATTTATAAAATAAGACTGCAACTAGTAAAAGGAAAAAGTAAGCTTTTCATTTCAGAGGCTTTCAAATTTCTTATTGGAAACGACAATAAAGCTTTAGAAGCAAGTTGCTAGTTTCTACTTAGTTCCAAGAGTTATGCACAGATTTTAGTATTCCTCAATCCGCACACTCACATACACAGATGTGTAAACAGTCCCAGTCACTTCAGAGAACTACATTACAGCTCAATTTGGGAAAGGAGGTAGTACAGGAAAATTTGAAGTAAGTAAATGACCCTGTTATCTTTAGCTAATTCTTTTCTCAAGATTAGTAGAGACTTAACAAAGAAAAAAATTAAAGGAGATGCTACAATTGAATACAAAAAAGGAGTGGTGATTTCATAAATGTACATAAGAAACCTTTATAAAATCGTATTGCTTCACAAAGAATTCTAAGTAGGTTAATTCTAAATATACAAGTTCCCAAGTTTAATCTAACAACAACAAAAAAACAGCACACAGATAAGTACTTTTGTCATGATTTTCAATTAATATGTAGTGAAAACAAAAGAAGCAAATTAATATGTACTTTGCAAGAACATATAGATCTTTAAGATTTTTTTGAAGCTTTTACAATATTTTGGAAATCATAAAAGGAAATCCTGGGGCCAGCACTGTGGCATAGTGGGCAAAAGCCTCTGCCTGCAGTGCCGGCATCCCATCTGGGTGCTGATTCTAGTCCTGGCTGTTCCTCTTCCAATCCAGCTCTCTACTATTGCCTGGGAAAGCAGTGGAAGATGGTGTAAGTATTTGGGCCCCTGCACCCACATGAGAGACCTGGAAGAAGCTCCTGGCTCCTGGCTTCAGATCAGTCCAGCTCGGACCACTGCAGCCATTTGGAGGGTGAACCAGCGGATGAAAGACCTTTCTCTCTGTCTCTCCCTCTCACTGTTTGTAACTCTTCCTCTCAAATAAATAAGCAAAAGTCCTTTAAAAAAAAAAAAAAAAAAGGAAATCCTAATTCCATGGATAATTGATAAAAGTGCTAAGATATGTTCTCTGCTGGAATCAGCAATTTCCTGAATTGTATTTGAAATAATATAATTTGATAAGATAAAGAGAAAATAAGGAACTATGTTTTTCTTAGTTTTTGTTTTTTGACAGGCAGAGTGGACAGTGAGAGAGAGAGAGACAGAGAGAAAGGTCTTCCTTTGCCGTTTGTTCACCCTCCAATGGCCGCCGTGGCCAGCGTGCTGCGGCCAGTGCACCGTGCTGATCCGAAGGCAGGAGCCAGGTGCCTCTCCTGGTCTCCCATGGGGTGCAGGGCCCAAGCACTTGGGCCATCCTCCACTGTTGATTTGATATTGGTAATATGATTAGGGTAGAGAGCAAGAGGGAGAAATATATTAAGCACACCACTGCTATCACAAATTTCCACTAAAAAGCCTCAAATTCTTTCTTTTGCTTTCCAGAAAAAAAAAAACAAACAAAACAAAACAAAACAAAAAAAAACGCTTCAAAGATTTGAAATCTGTCTTCTGCAGAAGAGGCATTTAGTCCAGCAGTTAAGAAGCCTGCTTCTTTTACCAGAGTCTCGGGATTCAATTTCTGGTTCTGGATCCTGATTCCATCTTCCTGCCAGTGCAGCAATGGTGATGGCTCAAGTAATTGGTTTCCTGCACCCACATGGGAGACTTGGATTGCATTCCCAGCTCCCAGTGGCTAGGAACTTGCTCTGTCAGTCCTTTTCCTCTCCTCTACCTCTCAAATACATCTTTAATTAAAAAAAAAAAAAAAAAAATCTGCTTTCTAAACAGTCTGTAAATTAAAAGCATTTTTCTTTATATTTTAAATTTGGCATAAATTAAAAAGTGAAATAGAACAATTACTGATTATTAAACACAAAGTACCTGGTCTTTTAACCAAATCATTATTAAGTCTACTTTGACAACTAAGAATCAGTTGACTACTGCAGTGAAGTAAGGTAACAGTTACCAGCTACTTTAATGACAATCACAGCCAGAGGACACGGTTTACAGTGTTAATACCAACGTGTCCAAGGAGTTGAATAAGCACCCCAAAATGAAGGGTTTTTCTTTTTTTGGTATACATGTGAGATTTGCTTGTTATCTTTTATATTTTTTCTAAACAGTTACCTGACACTAGTTTTACTTTAGGGAAATGTGTCGCAAGTATTGAAGAGCTTTCACAACATTTTCACAAACTCTACCGGAAAGAAAAAAAAAAAAAACTATTTATTCTCTAGTTTACCTGTTGTGATATCTTTTAATCTGGGAAAGAAAAAAAAGACAGAAGTGAGGAAGCTGTATGAATCCTTTAATATCCCTTCAAGTTAAGAACTGAGATCTTCATGTTTCTTGAGATGAAGTTATTTGGCAAATATAATTAATCTCTCATTGCCAATATATTCAAAATATTTATATCAAGAAAGATAGATGGATACATAAGTATACATGTATCTATATTTTATATGTGTGCTTCCATATTTGTCTTTCAAAACAGTTTGAATTTTGTTAAGGTATACAACATACCGTATTATACACACATAACATTGATATGTGTATAAACAATAATACTTTTAGAGTTAGAAGACCTTTACCAATATTACATTACTTGATCTTTTCAATACCTATGTGAAGAATGTGTTTTAGAATTCCATTCTACAGATGAGAAAGGCTTACAGAAGTTAAAGTTGATAATTTTGTTAAAATTAAAATGGTTTTAAGAAAGGAACAAAACTTGAACCAGTCTTATGACTTCAAAGACTATAACATTGAAAACAAAAATTATAACAATTCAGGACAATGGTTTTGAAAGAAAAACATGGATTCACAATGAAGTATATATACCATTTCACAATTGATATAAATTTGAGAGATATTTTAGATAATTTCAAATGACAATCCACAAATAATATTGAAAGATTATTGCATATGTAAGATAAAAGCTAAAACAGCCAATATTTATGCAATAATAAATTATGATTATTTAAGTCAGGAAAAAAAATAAAGTTATACATAAAGATAGAGAAGCACAATTAAAGAATATTCTAGATGTGTTGGGAAAGGATCACTGCAAATGGATACAAGAATCACTTTGCAAATATGAGCTGTGGAACTGAACTTGGGCTCACTGGAAGGCACACAAATGAGTGTCATATGCTGAAAAATGCGTAACTGCCCAACCACATCACAGCTGAGGCAAGAGAAACTGGAATATTTACACATACATGTTCAATAATCCTCATAATGTTCCTCATAAACAATCACATATGCCACTCTCTACTGCTTTACAAAAGCAGTTAAAATAAATAGAATATTTTCATAACTTTAAACTGGCCCTAAAAAAATAATAAAAGCTTAACATAGTCTCCTGCTCTAGAAATATCAACCAGGATGATAACAAAGAAGGTTGAGCCTCAATTCAAGTTACTATTAGGCTTCAATAAAAGTAGTAATTCAATGTGCTCAATTACTGCCAACCTAATATTTGTACGATTTAGAAGTTTAAAAGTTACTTTTAGAAAGAAAGGCAGGGCCGGTGCCGCGGCTCAATAGGCTAATCCTCCACCTAGCGGCGCCGGCACACCAGGTTCTACTCCCGGTAGGGGCGCCGGATTCTGTCCTGGTTGCCCCTCTTCCAGAGGCCAGCCCTCTGCTGTGGCCCGGGAAGGCAGTGAAGGATGGCCCAAGTGCTTGGGCCCTGCACCCCATGGGAGACCAGGAGAAGCACCTGGCTCCTGCCATCAGATCAGCGCGGTGTGCTGGCCGCAGCGCGCCAGCCGTGACGGCCATTGGAGGGTGAACCAATGGAAAAAGGAAGACCTTTCTCTCTGTCTCTCTCTCTCACTCTATCCACTCTGCCTGTCAAAAAAAAAAAAAAAAAAAAAAAAAAAAGGCAGAAAGGAAAATAAAAACAAATGAAAAATTTAGAAATTATTTCTAAGATTTCAGGTGAAAAGTTATCTCTTTCTGCTCTCCAGTAAGGAAAAATATGTCAATAATCCTTTTTAAATTACATATTTAATTTTATCAGAAAAAACATTCAGAAAATTGCTATCAAACAAGAGATGAGCGTTTCACATAAAGAGGAAAAATGCATAAACAGAAAATTAACCTTCTTACAAAATAGGCCACGATAGAGCTGAGCTCTATGGACAGTAAACTTAAAAGCAAAAAATGGCGACTGGGAAAGATTATACTTGAACTATAACAATGTTACCATCTACATATGCAATCTTTTCATTCTATTTATCAAAGATAAACATGTACTTACTCAGTTTATGTAAATGAATTATATAAAAGCAGTTAACAATTAGTTTTCAAGCCCCTGAAGGAGCACTGACCTTAAAAATCATTACTCTCAAAATTGTCTTTAGGTTGTGTACACTTGTTACTCTACATTTGGTCTTTAAGCTGAACTCCTATAAATACTTATACTTGAAGCTATAGAAAATGTCTTTAGACAATCTGTGAGAAGAACCAAAGGATACTTGCAAATACTCATTTCCCAACACACTGTCAAGATAAAGGGTCACCGTCACAACTACCACTACCATGTCATCACTCCACTGCAAAAGCAGACACCAAAGAAGCGAAACTCCGAAGGAACTGCTCTCCCTCAGAAATTATTCTACTTGGTAATCAAATAGCAAAGAAAGCATCAAAGGCAAAAAATGAAAAGCAAATCTTAAAACACTGTTATTTGTTAAATTATTGCCACCAGCAAGCTAAATCATTGGCATATGATTAAAGACAAGAAAGCATGGAAAAAGCTTTGTTAGTGCAATTCCTTTATTCATACATCATACCACCTTGCTGATTAAAAGTACTGCCCAGACTTCCTTGAGAAAGGTAAGAGATATTCACTCACCATTTTCCATACCCCATTTTATGTGCTTAGAATTTAATACAGCATTCCAAAGAGCTACAGCCCACAGGAATGCATGGCAACACTACTCAAGTTTTAACAGTTATAAAAATGTCTCTGCTTGTCCAACTAGCAGACAAACAGATGAATTCATTAGATTCACAGAATCCTGCCACAAATCTGAATGTGCTCAAGTGTCTGGGGATAAGAAAAACTTTCCCAGGTCACTTTAGGTTCACTAAGGTCACTAAGGTTCCCTAAGGTTACTTTAGGGACAAAACTAAAGGGGAGTCCTATGGTCCAGTCTAAGGATAGAGTGGGTTATGCTGCATCATTGTTACCTCCATCTTCATAATAGTAACCATCTCCATATTCATTGGCTCCAGAGAACTCTGGAATGTGTTTCTTTCGCCTTTTCTCTTCTTGTAACTCTTTTTCTTGCAAAAGGCGAGCTATGTCCTGCAAGGACAAGAAGGAATAGAAATAAGTACCATCAGAGAATGAATGTGGTATTTGACATTCCATAGCCAAGTTTTTATGGGCTCTGCCCATGACTCTCAAGATTTTCTGGCATTAATCGTATGCTCTCCTTATGCCATGGATGATTGGCTCAACAGGAGAAGCACAAGAGCTAGATGAGACAGACTTTTTTTTTTTTTTCTAAATTGAAATTTAAATCTAACTCAACTGAAAGACAATCAATGGCAGTACTTGTAAAGATGGCTGGCTGGCGCCGCGGCTCAATAGGCTAATCCTCCACCTTGCGGCACCGGCACACCGGGTTCTAGTCCCGGTAGGGGCACCGGATTCTGTCCCGGTTGCCCCACTTCCAGGCCAGCTCTCTGCTGTGGCCAGGGAGTGCAGTGGAGGATGGCCCAAGTACTTGGGCCCTGCACCCCATGGGAGACCAGGATAAGTACCTGGCTCCTGCCATCGGATCAGCGCAGTGCGCCGGCCGCAGTGCGCCGGCCGCAGCACGCCGGCCGCGGCGGCCATTGGAGGGTGAACCAACGGCAAAGGAAGACCTTTCTCTCTGTCTCTCTCACTGTGTCCACTCTGCCTGTCAAAAAAAAAAAAAAAAAAAAAGATGGCTATACAACAGGATTCATAAATACTATTTGTTGGCTTCTCTTCAAAGCTGAGGATGCATTAAGTCTATATGGGGGAGTAACCTATAAAAGTTAAAAAGAATTCTTCCAATGGTTCTGATTTAGCTTGCATTATAGTAACACTGTCTGAACTAAAAAGGAGAAAAGAAATCTTCCTGCTGTTTCTTCAACACAAGCCAAGTTTAACAGTTACTATGTTCAAAGCCTGCAAGTGACAGAGTGATAAACAGCTTTCCAACACCGTGCCTTCAAAGATCACCATCCTTTATCGAAACTAAAGTGCATATGAATAAATACAAGGAAATTAAATTATAAATGCTCAAAAAGGGCTAGAAATGTCTATGTGGGTATAAAAGAGGGAATATAATTTTCTTCTTCAAGGAATTAGTACAAGACTTTGTGCTGTGTTAGGCTTTGAACCAAAACTTGAAGTCCAATAGGCCAAAAAGGGAAAGAGAACATCAGCAAAGCTGTGAACATTTTAATGGCCACCAACCTGTGAAATGGCCAACTGGAACATTTGGGTGTGTGGAGTATGAAGAACAGTGGGGCCAGAAAATCAGTAAGACTGGATCAAAGATACTCCTTTAGGTAATAATTTTCTTAAAGAATTATTTACTTTATTTGAAAGGCAGAGTGATACAGAGAGGAGGAGAGATACAAAGAGAGATTTTCCATCTGTTTATTCATTCCCCAGATGCCTTGTCAGCACTGGACCAGGCTGAAGCCAAGAGCCAGCAACTCCATCCAGATTTCCTACATGGCAGGAACCCCAAGTATTGAGACATCCTCTGCTGCCTCTTAGGTCATCAACAGTAAGCTGGATTAGTAACACAGAGCCACCAAGACAAATCAATGCTCTGATATGGGATACAGGTGTCCCAAGTGGCAGCTTAACCCACTGCACCACAACACCTTACAGATAATCTTAGTCTGGAGTCTACAATGTAGGGGTGAAGGATTACTAAAGGTTTTGAATTATAAAGCTAAAATGTTTTGAATCTAGAGATTCAGAAAGTCCCATAAAATATATAAATTTTTATGTTCAGTTATACTTTTCTGGAGGGAAGTTCCATAGCTTTCATCAAAATCTCAAAGGTTCACACAAATATGTCAACAATCTTCACTGGTACAAATGCTACTAACAATCATAACAATCATAGGTAATTTGAGATATTCACTTTTTCATATTCATAATAAGGAATACATGAAATACTTAGAAACTGGTAAATTTGCAGCAAAAAATAGTATTCTTCCTTTTGAAACTTCCTCAGACGAAACAAAAAAATACAGTAAGATGGCAAAGCAACTTCAAAAAATTCAATCTGAGTGACTCACATTTTTTTTTTTTTTTTTAGTTATGAAGAAACACTCTGGATACTGCGGCTACATAAATTAGCATTAATTATCCATAACCTCAGCTGTTTTCAAAATACTCTCGCAAATCTGACTATATTAAATATGTGCCTAAATTGAAGCATAAAACATACTATTGATTTTAACTGATACACACACACATGCATGTGTGCATGCACGTGCATATTTGGATACATAATGCATTTAAAAGTCCACCCTGCACTGCAGTGTTAAATGCAAGTGGCCATTCACAAAATGATGCAACTATAAAAGAGAGGTAAATGACAAAATCCTACTTAACATAGTATATTTTTCATATAAAGAATTCTAAATTCTTAATACTTTGATGGAAAATCTACCATGTAAGTGACACCAGGAGAGACATAGCAACTACTGATAAGAATTTCTTGAGGTTTAAGTTCTTCATCTGCATAATAAAAAGACAGAACTATTCAAATTTTATTTATATATTTTTTGAATGGCAAAATGACAGAAAAAGAGGTAGGAAGAAGAGAAGGGGACAGGAAGAAGTGTGGAGAGGGAAGAATAACAGAGGGAGTCTGACAGCTATTCCAGTACCAGACTACAGGTTAGTCCAGACCAAAGTCAGGAGCCAGGAATTCCATGGGGGTCCCCCACATGGGTGGCAAAAACACAAGTAGTTGGGTTATCATCCTTTGACACCTAAGAGCATTAGCAGTAAGCTGGATGGGAAGCGGGGAGTGGCAGGGGCTCAAAGCAGGCACTCTGATATGATATGTCAGTGCCCCAAGCTATGAGTTAACCTGCTATACTACAATACCTACCCTATTCAATCTTTTTTTTTTTTTGATATATTTAATTTATTTGAAAGGCAGTGACAACTACAGAGAGAGGGAAAGATAGAAAGAGATCTTCCATCTGCTGGTTCACTCGCAAATGGCCACAACAACCTGGGCTGGGTCAAGCCAAAACCAGGAGCTAGGACCTTCATCGGAGTCTCCCACGAGAGTAGAGGGGCCTAAGCACTTGAGCCATTCTCTGATGCTTACCCAGGCACATTAGTAGGGAGCTGCACTGGAAGTGGAGCAGACAGGACTTGAACTGGTGTCCATATGGAATGCTGGCATCACAGGCCGTGGCTTAACTCACTATGTCACAATGCTGGCCCCATCCCATATTGAATCTTAAAGTCAACATTTTAATGTATCCTTTTAATGTGCAACATTTTAATGTATCCCTTTAATAAACTTGTGTTTACCAGGTGCCAGATACTGGACCATATTTATTACCTCTGATGTCTTACAAAGAAATACTTTAAATCAACTGAGGAAGAGAGATGGGATTGAACAGATGGCTTGCTCCCTCTAAAGTTATTATATGCTATAGAATTCACCAAATTCATATACTGTTTACTGAAGAAATGGGAACAAATGCTAACACTTCCTTGAGCTGTCATGTTTACTAAGCATTCAACAGCACTTTTTCCTAAGTGGTTTACTTTATGATAAACAAAGAATTTCTCCTGCTGTAACTGAGGAAAATACAAAGAGGAAAATAATTTCTGCCCAACTGCCAGCATAAATTATTAAACTATACTCCAGGGACCTTATAATTGCTTTCCTGCTACTGAATTTAGTCCTAATAAATACAGAGTAATAAGCTACTCTCCCAGTATGAAGAACTAGGAAAGAAACAAGAATTATGCTTCCTCTTTATAATGCATTAGTCGTCAAAGAAAGTGCTTTTAATCAAGTGGAAAAATAATCATCATAGGTGTCATGTAACTTAGCACCCAATCCTTTTTTGTTCTAAGTTTTCAACTATTTTTTTTCCTTCTCCTCCTCTTTCTCCTTTCTTTTGAGTGGCAAAAAGTCAAAGAACATGTAGGGGTGTGTGTGTGTGTGTGTGTGTGTGTGTGTGTAAGAGAGAGAGAGAGAGAGAAGGAGGGAGGAGAGGGGCAGAGAGGTAGACAATGAGAGGGAGACAATGAGAGGAAGGGTGAGGGCGAGAGCCTGTGTGTGAGAGTATGAGAGTATGAGAGAGAGAGAGAGTGAGAGAGTGAGAGAGAGTTAGTTAGCTCCCATTCATGGGTTCACTCCCCAATAACTACCACAGCTGCGGGCTGTGCCAAGGCCAAAGGTAGAATAGGGAACTCAATCTAGGTCTCTCTCCCACATGTGTAACAGAAACCAATTATTGAATCATCACTGCTGCCTCACAAGATACGCACTAGCAGGAAGCTGGAATCAGAACCTGGAGATGAGTACTCTACCTGTATTCTGATAAGAGATCCCATTTTGTTATCAGTAACTATTACATAAATTTTTAATTTTCAAATTTATTATTTATTTGAAAGGTAGAGTAACAGAAAGAGTCAGAGAGATTTTCCACCCCCTGGTTCACTTTACAGATGCCATTAAGAACCAGGGTTTGGGTCAGGAGGAAACCATGACTTTACATGGCTGGCAGAGACCTAAAGACTTAAGCTATCACCTATTATCTCCCATAGTGTGCATTTGCAGCAAGCTGGACTTGGGAGCAGAACTGGGATTGAATCAAGGCATTCTCATTTGGGATGTGGATCTCTCAAGCTATAGCTTAACCACTGCACCACTGTGCCAAAGGTCCACCACAAGGGATATAGGTATCTTAATTGCTCATCCCTCAGTTTTTTAAGTAGCATCTACCTAGATGAGAAGAAAAGGTATGTTAGGCTACAGGAAGGAAAGGACACATAATTCAATAGAAACCTGTCACTATATCATACATGTTTAGAACTGGTCAGATCTCCCTACTTTCCAACATTATGGTGTAGCAGTAATTTCCTCTGAAATAGCTAAAAATGTCAGTTGTTAGTCACAGTGTTGGAACACAGTTAATCAGCCTCATCACCGTTCATATAAACAACCTCTGTGGACCTCAGCTTCCTTCCTGCTAAAGGTTAATCTAGAAAGGCATTTCCTGAGCTCTGTTTCAGAGAACATTGATCTGTAAAAGTTCTACCCTGTAACT